TATAAATCTAATACTTTATTCATGAGATTTAGTAATTTAATATAATCTTATTGTCTTTCCTAATTAGGTCACTTACACTGAAGGAGAGTTCATGCAGGTCAGAGTTCATGCAGAAGTCATGACCCCAGAAACAGGAGAACTTCACACAACAAATTCCTTTAATTTCACCTTAGCATCTAAGAGCGTGGTTAAGCCTGTTATTCCAAAAACCTATGGTGGTAAGAATGATTAATTTTAATTTAAAATATAGTTTATTTGTTCACAAGTTGAATTCAAAACTAATGTTGCAAGAATTTACAAGCATTTAGGACTTCACTACTGTACTAAAAATATAATGATAAACAAGGGAACTATATTTAATGATGTACTTCTGACAAATTTTGGAAATAATAATAATTTTAAAGATGAGGATTGCCATTAGCCATTGTCTAAAGGCCCAATGGAAATAACTTTTTTGGGTTAATTAATGTCTGTTGTTCTTAATTATTTATCTATTCTTTGTTTTGGTTTTGTATTTAATTTAAGAAGTGTTTTGTGAAATGAAATGACAATCTTTCATACAATGTTCATCATCTTAATTCACAGAATTTATGCTGTACTTGGATGGCAGACGACATTTTCAAGAATTCAAAGACAGCTAATTTGTAACACTTCCATAGCTGTTAGTTTATTAATTTCATAAATGAAGATAATGTATTTATTATCATCTTTTATCGTGTGATTTATTACTATACTATAGTAGTATTTATTCAAAGCAAGCAAGGTATGCAGTGCATACCGTAGCTAAATCTAAAAAAAAATTATAGTACAGTTTCTACGTTTTATTTAGCATTTCTTAGCCACAATCTTCTATACAAACCTTAATTTTTCGAGTTAATTGCTACAGTTCATTGGAATAGCAAAGTTTTTCAATTTTTTGCCTACTTTGGTATCTAGGATACATATGACAGGTATAGAAAAGAAACTTGTATTATTTGAATTGAAATTTACAGGAATAGGCATACATTTGTATTTTGACTATAGAATGCAATTTTAGATTATGTACAGTAGGCTTAAGAACGTTTCCTACCAGGGGTCTTGAATGTGAAGTGGGGAATCAATGATTAGGTAACGGGGTGCTAACTCGCAAAATAAGATGATTTGAGGTGATTTTTAACTACTTGAACATGATTTGGTTGCGAGACTCGGGGAGAGGTGAGTATTTTTGGGGGCCGTGTGTGCTCCCCTCGCACACCACTGCCTAGCGTACCCTGCCATTTACTTTATTTTGCAATAGAGTGCCTTGAGAATGAATGGAAAAGCCAAGGAAGTATACCACTTGGGCCCATAGCTCAGTTGGTAGAGATTCTGAATGGTATTCAGGGGGTCTAGGGTTAGTAACAAAAGGGGATACATTTTTATAATAAAAAAAAAAAAATCCCATATCATTTATATTCATAACAAGGTTATTTTATGTTATAACTTTTTAGTATTATGAGTTTAATTGGGCATATGACTATAAACTTTGATAACTTTAGAAATTCAATTCAGGGTAAAAATGGGGAAGCATTTTCTACACCCTAGATTTGCCAAAGATTTGTATATAGTATTTACATTTTTAAGTTATACAATTAAAGGTACTATCTGGCAATGCTATTATTTTGGTGAGCCTGTATTTCTTATAATGCAGCTTATAATATGCCATTACATTTTACCAAAGTGCCTCTTTTGTTAATTAGCTTCAGAATGATGCAGGTGGTATTTTTATTATGTGCGAAAAATTAATACAGTTAATGTTGATTAGTATGTTTACCTTAAGTCCTAGATTTTTAATACGGTAATGACACTGTATTTTCAAGTATTTTATTTATTGACTAAATGGTCATTTTTATTCTTATAATGATGTACCATGTTTAAAACATAGTGTTTCTTTTGTTGATAAATTTTCCTAAAATCTATCTTGATGTCAATATTATGAATTGAATCAAAGCTTAATTTTCTGCAGCTGAATAAAAACAAAGGTATACCTTAATAGCACTTTATAGCATTTAGTAACAGCTTTTTAATGTTATTAATTTCCTATGTACATCCCCTAAACATTGCTACTTCCAGTCAGCTTAAATCTTCATTTTTTTCTCACCACTTACAATTAACAGAAGCATCAAGAACATGCATTTCAGTCAGGCAGCTTTATTGGAACTGACAACCTTACATGATTTGTATTTCAGTGCCCTCCAAAAGTAAATTTACTCTGTGTACAAGATGTGTAATATATATCATATTATATTACATAAATTACAAAATGTAATAGTTACACATCTTTGCCAATAAAACAACCCCCCTCCCCACAAAAAAACAAAACAAACACAAGTTAATTTGAAATGCATACATGTAACCATTCTTATTGTTGATTTTTAAAAAAACTGTTTGACTAAAGTCACCAGAAAGAGGTCAAGGAATATTTCAGGAATGCCCAGGTAAACCACAAGGTGTTTGGTATGATATAAATTTGGAAAATAGAATATATTTTCAGATGCTATCTTGAGATGTTATATCCTACCATGGGTTGCAAAATAAAATGGGGTGTAAAAGAATAGACCTGGACAATTTATTGCTCCTTGTGTTTAGAGGCTGACAACCTCCTCATCCCAGTGATGTCCTAAACCTTATGTCTTATCTTCTTTGTTCATCACACATATACAGTACCTATATCTATATATGTAAACTACACAAAGAGTAGGAAGTCTGAGGTCCCCATCAGACATGCCAAGCCTCTACTTTGGCCACAAGTCTTCTGACCAAAAAACAAAAATTAGTATGTTCTACGTTTCAAGAAACTTGGCAAATGACAAAAAATGCCCAGTTTTCCAAAGTTGCTTGGGATGCATTCCCTTAACACCAACTAGGGTGTCATTACTGTGCACAGCTGACCCCAATGCCAAAAAATTATCAGACAGGTTATTCCTCCATCTTCAACCTGTCTCACAAATCCTGGTTCCACCACTGTATAGGAAACTTATAATAAGGTAATTACTTGTAATGAATAAATAAATACAGTTTACCTAGCATTTTGTACTTTTTATTAAATAATTTCAGAAAATTATATACTCGCATAGGTTTTCATATTTTGGATATTTCTTTAAAATAATTTATACCAAAATACTATCATGGGAAAAAAGAAACCATATAGAGACATAAATATAATGTACAGTTACAAGATTTAAAAAGCTAATATTTTAAATAAGATTTTTAAAAGCAACATTTAAAAACTTAATATTTTAAATAAGATTTTTAAAAGCAATGTAGTTGGCATTGAGCATTTTTGGATGGGGAGGTGTGTACAGATGTGGGAGCACAAAGTAAGTGGTTGTAGAAAGAATTTCCAAAAGGTTCCATTTAACCACAATAGGATAGTAAATATATAGTATATACTGTACATTTAATCAATTTGTAAAGTCAAAAATTATTGTTGACAGGAACTAAGCATTCTCTAACAGGCACCCTGTTAAGCCTATATACCGCAAATCATTCCTTGACATAAGGACTTATTAATGACCTACCTTAAGCCTATATACCGCAAATCATTCCTTGACATAAGGACTTATTAATGACCTACCTTAAGCCTATATACCGCAAATCATTCCTTGACATAAGGACTTATTAATGACCTACCTTAAGCCTATATACCGCAAATCATTCCTTGACATAAGGACTTATTAATGACCTACCTTAAGCCTATATACCGCAAATCATTCCTTGACATAAGGACTTATTAATGACCTACCTTAAGCCTATATACCGCAAATCATTCCTTGACATAAGGACTTATTAATGACCTACCTTAAGCCTATATACCGCAAATCATTCCTTGACATAAGGACTTATTAATGACCTACCTTAAGCCTATATACCGCAAATCATTCCTTGACATAAGGACTTATTAATGACCTACCTTAAGCCTATATACCGCAAATCATTCCTTGACATAAGGACTTATTAATGACCTACCTTAAGCCTATATACCGCAAATCATTCCTTGACATAAGGACTTATTAATGACCTACCTTAAGCCTATATACCGCAAATCATTCCTTGACATAAGGACTTATTAATGACCTACCTTAAGCCTATATACCGCAAATCATTCCTTGACATAAGGACTTATTAATGACCTACCTTAAGCCTATATACCGCAAATCATTCCTTGACATAAGGACTTATTAATGACCTACCTTAAGCCTATATACCGCAAATCATTCCTTGACATAAGGACTTATTAATGACCTACCTTAAGCCTATATACCGCAAATCATTCCTTGACATAAGGACTTATTAATGACCTACCTTAAGCCTATATACCGCAAATCATTCCTTGACATATGTTCCAGCACGTCAGTCTTTGTAAACTGCTCATGTGTAAACTTCATGAAAAAAAACCAAAACAAAAGATGGCAATGATTATGAGGGACAATGATTAGACAAAGGCCAAATTCGACCAGTCGCTCTTCGTTAAACCACGCCCACCTGCGCAGTAGTAAAATCCTACTTAACGAAGATGACCAGTCGAATAGAAAAATTGTAAGTACTCGACAAAACAAAATAGCTGCGTAATCAAGGTTGCTTTGGCTTGTGGCAGTATGGGTTGTTTGTAAAAAAATGTTTTCATCCAATTTTTGAATTCTGTTGGCCTACAATTATTTTTTTACTTCATGTGGGTAAATGTTATAAATTTTATTTTCTGAAATTTAATCTAAATTATACTAATGCAAATGTTGTTGCTAAACTGACCAATCGGCCATGTTTGTTTTGGTCACGTGGATAACTTAACGCTGATTAACGCACCTTGGTTTACGTTAATTTTAATTGTCAACGAAGTCTATTTTACAAAACCAGTCAAATGAAATTAATACTCAACGAAAAATCGTAGTCAACGAAATGAACCAGTTGAATATACCCATTTTCTATATTTTAATCTACAATGGTCCTTCTTATCTTTTTCATTACGATTCATATTATACCAGTATGAATATATATATATATATAAGAGAAAGACAAAATATCGAAAAACAACAACACTGTAGAAATTATGAATTGATCTTGATTGACACATATAAGTGAACAATTTGAATGTAAATTGAACAGCCAGAGAATAAGCCAAAACTTTCAAACCATGTCAATGCAAATAAATTGTCCATTAGATGTCCAACACTTGGTGGTTAAATTGTGTTAAGAATAAGAATTACCTTTGAAATACTGTCAGAATCAACGTTCAAGGCTTTTAACCAGTTTACGAGTTCACTATCATACATATTACACTCTGAAAATATATATAACAATTTAATACAAATAATAAATAATTCATTAGCTATTTAGTTTTTGCATTTCATTTAATATAATAATACCAACAGCAGCAAAACTAACTATTATATATATTAACATTAATAAAACTAATAATGTTGATACAATATACTGTTTGAAGGTGTGCATGGCGAAGTAATGATATATTAAATGTTTGCGGGACACCACATAGATAGTTCAGAAAAGAAATGTTGTTTGTTGAGAATGTCTCAACGAACAACAGTTCTTTTTAAACTATCTATGTGGTGTACGCAAACATTTAAGATAATATTAATTTAAAAAAAATATATTTGTATTACTAATAATACTGTACTAATAAAATTAACAATAATATTAACAACATTAATAATAACAAGAATACTTAAACAAAATTTACTAACCTGCTAAGTATGATGGGGTTGACACCACACCTGGTGGCCTAAAAGAAAATTTTTTAAATGTTGTAAGTAAATTCACAATCGCTACTACAAGAGGGAATGAGGACCTGTGAATTGCTGCAAAGATGTAGATGGCTAGGAATGACTGTTCCATTTACTTTTTGGATGTTCTCATTTAAAAATAGAATTAGCAATAGTCTGCTTAACCAGGCTAGCAATCAAAAAGTAGTGTATGAAGACTGCAGGTGGTTATGTTATCTCTCCTCAGATTTACATGAATAGACTGATTTTAAGAACCTGTAGGTGGATAGTTAAAAAGTCTATTGGCTTACGTAAGTACTTCAAGTAATGACTGATGCTCTTCTAAACGTCCCTGGAGAACTTCATTCAATCGTTTTTGTGTTTCAATTAAATCCTTCACCAAACTAAAAAGAGAAATTTTTACCACATATTATTAAGACAAACATAAGACAAAATTTTGCTTAGAAGCAGGCATGTATCTAAGAGGGGTTGGTAGGGTGAAGACCCCTCCAGAAAAGCCCCATTCCCAAGCAGGTCACCCCTTTAAAAATCTCCTCATATCACCTGATCGTTGAGGGAGAGCAGCTTTTTGCAATAGAAACTGAGACACAGAGAAGTCCATGGTTTCAGCACACACAACGTTTGCCATCATTTTTAGCAAACTGTGAATTGTTGCACTCTAGATTTTCCTTATGAAGCTAAAGCTTTGTCTACACTATCAAATTTTATGTGATAAAAAAATGTGATGTGCCCATATATGGGTATGATGACATCATATCACATACTATCAAATTATATAAAAAAAACTATTATTTTCCATCACATTTTATGTGACAATTTTTTTTATGAAATTTGATAGTGCATGCATGCATGTATGTATGTATGTATGTATGTATGTATGTATGTATGTATGTATGTATGTATGGGTGAATGTATGTGTGTGTGTGTGTGTATGTGTGTGTGTGTGTGTGTATGTGTGTGTGTGTGCGTGTGCGTATATGTATGTATGTATGTGTGCAGTTGAAGAGAGGAAAGCTTGAAGTGTCTTGCCCAAGGACACTAGCAGCGTGATGAGCATCGGCCACAAGCCTTAACCGCTACACCTCGCAACTACACAAATATTTTCCTCACCTTTGGTATTCTTTACTTAAACTGTTGTATTCCTGGTGCATAAGGTGAGAAGCAGTGTTAAACATTGAGTCGACTTGATCATTAGATTTACTGGAGCTCATTGTCGACACTCCAGACGTTGCACCACCTGAATTACCGGAATTAACTGCTACATTACCCCCAGCCTCATAGTCATCACCATTGACACGTGACGACTGGTTCTGCTGAGCTAAGTTAGCACCCAAATCTAAATAGAAAAAGAAATGAATTTCGTATGAGATAGCAATTAAAATGTTAGTTGAAGGAAAGGAGCCCTCATACAATGACACAACATTATAAAAAAAAAATTACATTATAATTTTTTGTAAAGATAAATATAACAAATAACAGTAAATATAAAAGTAATACTATGACAATACTGTAAGACTAATATAATAAAAATATACTAGGGATTAACATGGATAGATTTGGATAAATTAACACTGTTAAAAATAATCCATGTATATAAACATGAATCAAAGGGATAGAAGAGATTCAAGATGGATTAACATGGAAAAATATAGATTAGCCTGGATTATATTGAGCAATTTGGTAATACTGTACTGTACTGTCAAAATGCATATTTCACTCATTCATTCATTTATTTTCAGTTGCACTTAACACTACTACAATTTTATTGTAAAAAACATTCACCTGGCATAAGAATGGTAATGGCAGCTTGGATAACAATGTTAAAATAAGTACAAATCAGAGGGAGAAAACCAAATCAAAATGGATTAACATGGATAAATATAGATTAGCCTGGATTATATTAAACAATTTGGTAAGTTTGTACAGTAAAAATATACATTTCCTTTCATTCAATTTATTTTTACTTGCATCTTAAACACTACTTCAATTACACTATAAAAAAATACATCACTGGATACAGATTTAATAAAAAGAGTGTTCACCTGGCATAAGAATGGTGACGGCAGCTTGGACAGCGCCTCTCGTGAGATTGTCCAACGCAAACATCCAATGAGGTTTGATATTGTTCATATGGTGCTTCAAGTCATCAGTTACCTACAAAAAATAGAGAAAAAACTACATGATACCTCTTATAGGTGATGTCATGGGGACATGGGGAAAGTATAATACATAATGCACGCCATCGTGTTGGGATTCAAATCATGATAACAAATCATGGGGACTGTTCTACTATTATTCAAGGTGTATTCCCACATATAGCAGGGGTGGATCCAGAGATGTCCAAAAGGAGGCCCCGGAAGAGGGACCAAACATGGGACCGATGAGATAACAATATCATAGAGGGTCTGGGGACATGCCCCCGCGAAATGTATGTGTTCTAGACGCCCAAAAATAACCTCTAATGCCTTTTGGGCGATCATTTTTTCTTTTTCTTTCTTTCTTTCTTTCTTTCTTTTTTTTGACTTTCCTCTAAATCCGCCCCTGTATAGGAGAACTGCAATAGTTGGTTTATCCAGTCAAGTACTGTATTCATACATTAGAAAAGATATATCTATAAAATAAACAATGATTCAACTGAGTAATTGAATATATTGTATACAATAATCAGTTGAATTACTGTATAATTCAAATGACTAGGGATAAAGATTTATTCGTAAGCTTTACCGAAATGGAATATGTGTCATATGGACTTACTGCATCTTGGAACAAATACAGGGCGACATGCAAATCGTTTATTGCAGTGGGATCAAATTCTAACTCCTCTTTTAGTTTTCCTGGAATATATAAGTAAAAAGAAAGTTATACAAAAACTGACTTCAGATACAAAGTATTGTAGCATTTAGTATTTGTATGCCATTTTGTATTTTGTTTATGGTGCCACATGCCCTCCCCCACTTACAAATTACCTCCCTCAATCCACTTCTGAATGGTAATGGCAAAAATTTGACCCTAAATTTTCCAAGATTTGAGTCAATATGACTCCAGCAACACATTTTTTAGGCCTATTTATGAGGATAATGATGATAACAGTGTTTATGATGATGATGACAATGAAAATGATGGTATAACTTTAAAATATATATAAAATATACTTTTTATTGTTTTTGAAAATGTTGATTGCTTGTTTTTAACAGTATATCATCAAAGCTGTCTCTTATACACATCTAGATGTGTATAAGAGACAGTCCTAAACCATGATGATGATATTGAAGACAAAGGAAATGAACATGATGGTGTTAATAAGGCCAAAAAAAATGAATGCGTTCAATTTCAACTTTATTGCCATAATTTAAAACAGCATAAATGATTAGATAAAATAAGTAAACAGTACTGAAAAATGAATTAAAATACATGACGTTATTTAGATAACAGTAGGAAGTTTTCAGAAGCTTACGAAAACGATAACAAATACGGTTACTTCATCAAGTTTTTAGACAACCTTTCCCCTACAGTAGCATATTTGTCACAACGTAGACGAATCATGCCTTTTCCATGAATCAAGAATCATATTCAGCTCATACAGAATAATTGTCAAGAATGTTTAGGCAAGAATGACGATAATGATAATGATAATGACGTATTCGTTACCGTTTTCGTAAAGTTGCGAAATTTCTTTAATGCTAGAAAAACACCCACATCATTGAGAAAATATATTTTATTGCAAAATGCCCATTAAGATTAAGAAAAAATTAATTTTATAAAACAATTATTTTAATTACATAAATTTCAATTTGAATCAGGGGTTTAGCCTGAAAAACGAAATAGGCCGTCCAAAATTAAAGCTAATGGGCGTGGCCCTGAGCCGATGTGCACGCCACGCCAACTCGGGGCCACATGGATTTGAAAGATATAAAGTATTTGCTAAAGATAGACCAGACTTGATTAGGCCAAGCCATCCAAGCCGTCACGGTAAAAGTGGCCGTCCTAAATAATTGTACAAAAGACGGCCGGCTGGCTTGCTGACTAAGCCGATGATTTGATTTATATTGCCAAGCAGTGAGAATTGTACATGATCGTCAGTCACAAGGAGTGGAGGTTGATCCCGGCTAGCATTTATGGGGTATATTTGCGAGGACTTTGTAGCACAAGTGTGGGAAACATGGGGGAGTTGCAGCTTTTATGGGTTATACTTGCGAGGACTTTGTAGCATAAGTATGGGAAATAACCAGGGTGAAATTGGTAGTTAAACTCCCAGGCCTATCCCTGTCTCTTATACACATCTAGATGTGTATAAGAGACAAGCTATTCACATAAATTCTCAATTCGCATGTACAGTGGTGGCATCACATACATGCATCTAGAAAAACCAAAGAAAAATCTCAAGAGAAATCCATCATTGATTAAATTATAAATTTGAAACCTTGTTATCTTCATAATGAAATGTATTGTTAGGACACCATAGGCTGGAAATAATTATCAAAGCTAAAATCTGTTGCTGCCACCTCTACTGTTTCGTTAGAAACCTTTTCCACAGCATCTGAATATCAAGATGATTGATGAATCAGTTCTCACTGTGTTATCTCAAATACTTTCACAAAGTTTACACCCATATGTACTAAAGAAAGCCACAGGAAAAAAGGGTTATGTAGTATGTGTGAATGAAGTATTAGCATATGTACCGTTTTTCTACAATTTCTGTAGAATATTTTATATTTATTGGTATATGCCATGCTGCGTATGATTCTCTTCAATTATATATAGTAATTATTTTGATTTAGCTTTCCTTATCAGAGTTTACAAATATCACTGATTTTATTAAAGGTGAAAATGAAATTGAACATGCATCCACATATAGACATCTGCAAAGAAAATATCATCATCCATTTCATAACTGACGAAAAAAACACAAAAGTATATTTATGTACATATCATACTTACACAGTATAAATTGGAATTGTTAAAATAAATAATAAAAAACAAGGGAGGTGAAATGTCATACTTTCATTCATTGTCTGAATCTGTCTTGTTGCTCTTGGTTCTGTCAGCCCTGTACTTCTTGATCTCTGCCCATATCCTACACTGGATGCCTACCCTGTAGTTAAAAAAAAAAAAAAAAAAAAAAAACCATGTTTAGAACATCAGAAAAGACAGGAATATAGAGAGTATATAGATCTGATAATTTTGCTAAGTGTT